TCTCTGGCTCACAGCATGCGTGTTGCCCAGCTGCTGGAGTGCTGCCTGCTGATGGGCTTCAGCTGAGATGCTCCTCAGGCCTGTGCCCAGCAGACAGGAGCTGCCTCACACATGACTTCCCGGGCAGCATCCTGAGATGCTCGGGTGAACGAGGTCCGGGTCCTGCAGTGGGAAACCTTTTTTTTTTTTTTTGAGTCGGACTCCCTCTGTTGCCCAGGCTAGAGTACCGGGGCATGCTCACGGCCACCGCAGCCGCGACCTACTGGGCTCAGGTGATCCTTCAGCCTCAGTCTTCCAGGCATCACCATGCCTGGCTAACTTTTTGATTTATTGTAGAGACAAGGTCTTGCCGAGTTGCCCAGGCTAGTCTCAAACCCCTGGGCTCAGGCAATCCTCTTGCCTCAGTCTCCCAAAGTACTGGGATGATAGGCATGAGCCACCACACCCAGCTGGTTATCTTTTTTTCCCCAAAATTTCTCTTTTAAACTGTATCTCCAAATCACATTGTTGTTAGTATGGGTATTCTGAAGCACTTAAGACTCACAAAGTGATAAATGAACGTGAAGCTGAAAGAATGATTATACCAGCTGAAGGCAGCAAGGATCATGCAGCATCATGTCTGATTAGTCATGAAGAAGCATGATAAATAAGAAGACAAATGTGAAAAGTTACCAGATTGTATGTGACTCGGACCACCCGCCAGCTTTTGAATTCAAGTTTGGATTAGATTGAATATAAATGTAATTCCAGGCTTCTGATCCCTGAGAGGTCAGATTTATAAAACCAGCCATTATCTGACTCTTACATATACTTAATTGTATAGCAAATGACTGTGGAAAAGTCATTTTAATTTCCAGGAGAAAAATGCCCCATTTTTTCCCCTGGTGTTCAGAGCTTCCCTCTACATTTGGTATATGAGAGGGGATCCCCCCCAAATCTGGAATTTATTTATAAAATATTATATATGTATTCTTACATGTTTAAACTTCAGTCACCTTTCAAGTACTTGCTGTTTGATGTAATAAACCTATCGAAATGCTTTTCCACTACTTAAAACAGTTTTTGAAGGTGCCGTTTTGATGCCTTTTAGTGCTTCTGCCGGTTTTTGTTTCACCTCCTTCACATTGGCAAAACGTTTCCCTTGAGGACTTTTTTCATCCAGGGAAACAAAAACAGTCACTGGAGGTAAGATTAGGAAAGTGTAGCCTGGGGTCATGCTGTTTGGGGTCAAAAACCACTGAGAACTCAGTGCAGTGTGGGCAGGTGCCTTCATCACGGTGGAAGGACCAGTCACCTGTTTGTCAACACTCGGAATGTCTCTTCTGCAAATGGTGATCAACCTTCTCAAAGCTTCCAGATAAAAACTCTGGTTGTCCAATAGATCCAAAGGAACAAATTCCAAGTGTACTCCAAGGGACCTGCTCGCCAAAAAAGAATTCTGTTGTTTTTTTTTTTTTTATCCCCCTTGTATTAGTCTTTTTCTCTTTCCTTCCTTCTCTTCCCTTCTCTCTTCCTTTTTTCACTCATTAGATGTTGAAATATAATCTTAAAAATGTTGAAATATAATCTTAAAAATGCAATTTGTCAGCCGGGCTCGGTGGCTCAGCCTGTAATCCCACGCTTTGGGAGGCTGAGGTGAGTGGATGGCCTGAGCCCGCGGGTTCGAGACC